CTATCCGATATTTGCCAATATCCGTCGATTTTACATGATGTTTTCCTATCAAGGATAAATCCAACTCCTCGTTCATGTTCCTTTCCTCCTGAATATATGAATCTGAATCCTTCTTCTGTTTTTATATCGCCTCTTCCTGTCCATCTAACCTCGGAAATACCAAGAATCGATATTCCCAGAATCTTCATTTCTCTGATGACATTGGCCAATTTTCCAGTTTGATAAAGGGACCTCACATTCCAGCATCCCACTCTTAGACTTTCTTTAAGAGCTGCTTTTCTGATTGTCTTTCCTTTATCGGCACCAGGACTTCCAGACGGCTTTAATCCAGGCACGTCATTTGAAGCACTCGTTTCCAGGAAATCCAGACCATGTCCGCAGCATCTCTCCCTGGTAGCATACTGCACAAGGACAGACCCAGGGGTCCCATCTGTACTTGTGCATATCTCATTTATACTTCGTTCAATGTTCATCAAGTCTTGGAAAAAAAGAAATAGAACATGGTGGTTTTCCGTTGCCTTCCATGTTTCGAATTCAAATTTCAAATTATATATATAATAATAATATGAAGAAATGTAATGTTCATTTTTTGTGATGAAGGTCCTGGCTTCTCTGAAATTCTTGTTATTTGTGATAAAGTCGGGTAGTTTTATTTGTCGCTTTCTTTTTCTTTCCTTAAGCAAATGTCGATAGCAAGAGATCACATCCAAAATGCCTCATCTTGCTTTTGCACATCTTTCAAAATCTGGATCATTCACTACAGTTTGATCAACGAACTCAGTTATCATTACCAAACTTTTACTACAGAAATCTGTAGAGAAATTCTTTGGGTTCTTCTTTTCAGAATCTCTATTTTCCAGTTCTACACAAATTCCTTGTTCTGCCAGTTCTTGAAGGTCATTGTTGGTAAGACTCTCATCAGAAACCTGCAGTAACTCCTCAATATCCTGCTGGTCTACATCTCCTAGTCCTGCTTTATCAATTAGATTGACAACTTGGTCAACCTAATGATATAGCAATGGTCTCTTCTCATTGAGAATTCTTGGATACCTTCAGTCATAACTTCTACACATTGTTCATGCATTTATTAGTTACTTCTTGCCAAGCCAAGTCGATATTGCCTACGGCATCTGTAATGTTACATTTTGTCCAAAATTGCACCAAACAAACATAGATTTAAGGAAAGTACAGTACTATGACAAATTAACACCTTTTGCTGATTGGTTCATGTTTGGGAATAAATGTATTATACAAGGTCTGTTCAAAAAGTATCGGACCTTTGGTCAGCAAAAATAAATTTATTGACTTTGACGTACAAAACCCTAATCCTCTTCAAAGTAGTCTCCTTGGTAATGTATACACTTCTCCCAGCGTTCCTGCCATTGCTGGAAACACTGCTGGAACGCATCTTTTGGAATGGTTATCAGCCGGTCCGTCGCATTTCGCATGATGTCTTCTCTTGACTAAATTTGGGTTCCTTTTAGCGGCATTTTCAGCTTGAGAAATAGCCAAAGGTCACACGGAGCCATGTGGAGAGAGTA